CAGTACGAAGCCCTTGATGATACGCTCAAGAAGGAACTGCCCAAACTTTCTGCACTGACCGCCGAAATTGGTAGGATTTGTCTTGCCAAGTTCGTCGACATTCAAGCGGCATGGTACTCGACCTGGACAGAAAAAGTCAAGGCCCCCCTCGCCGACTTCGACCACACCCCCGACATTCCGGAAATCTACCAGGTCTTCGATCGAGATTTCAAGGAGCAAATCGAACGGGCAAGACAGCTCGTCATTCTCAACCCCGTTTCGCTGAGAGGTAGGACCTCCCAGTCAACGTCGGACGACATTGGCTCCGGCTCCATTCTGACCAAGACTCGATCTCGTCCTACTGAGCTGCTCACCCCGAGAGGTCGTGGCCTGTCCATCAACAGCGATTATGTCCCGACTCTGCCGACTCCTGATCTGTCTGGAAGATTTGACCTTTCTCCTACCGGCACTGGTTCGGCGTTGCCTAGCCCGGGGCAGTATTATCGGGATTATTACTCGGGGTTGTTCAATGGCCATCACTCAAGGGGCAACTCTGCGGCTCCGCTCAGTCCGGCGGATCCCTCGTCATCTTCGGCACCGAGGTCGGTACCTGCTACGCACGCTACTTCTACCACGGGTGGCTATTCCACCACTCGTCCTACAACTGGTCGTAGTTTCGACTCGGGCAGTCTACCTCGTCAATCCACCGATTCCTACTCTGCTCAATCCGCCTCCGGCACTCACCACACCAGCCACGGCCATGGAGTCGCCCACTCAGGCCACACCCTCTCCCGTCGGGGATCCTACACCTCTTCCCACCACAACTACGCCACCAGCGAACCGCGTCGGCAATCCGGTCTCTTCCACTCTGCGCTACCGATGGACGACGCAGATGAAGTTGATGGGCACCCTGAACTGGAAGCTGGTCCCAGCAATTCTAACCATCATCATGAGATGCAAACTTCGAATGGTGGCGGAGGCATGTTCATCTCGGCGGAAGCTGCGGCCGAGGCCAATGTCATGTGGTTGGCTGCTAGTCTGTTTGAGTTCAATATCGAGACTACCAAGCATGAGGGCGGGTATCCTTATTTGACTTATCAAGCTGGGGAGGTACGTTATCATTTTTTTTTTTTTTTCCCATCTTTCTCTCATCTGTTTCTGTGCTGGGATTTTGGGGAATTGGATGTCCGCTGCGCTCGGCCTTTTTTTAATTTGCTCGCTTCGCTCGAATTTATCCTCTCCCACTCGTACTCCTTCTCATCTCTTCGCCTTGCTCAATTTCCCAAAGAATTAAAACCAATGACTAACAAATTCCCGTGTTGCAACAGATCTTTGACGTAGTCGCCGAAAAGGGAGAGCTCTGGCTGGCCAAGAACCAAGACGATCCCACCAACGTCATCGGCTGGATCTGGAGCAAGCATTTCGCGAAGCTGGCGGAGTAGCAAGTCGCTGGTTTTGAGGTCATGATTGCTAATGCTCGGGGAAGGGCGGAGAGGGGGAGGACAAGTCGGGAGGAAAGGAGGAGGACGGACGATACCTCCGAGGATAAATAAGGATAAGGATAAGGATAAGGATAATGATGAATAAGGATTAAGGAAGGAGAAGGAGGAGGGAAAAGGGAGAAGGAGAAATGCGACTGACCAAGAAGAAGAAGAAGAAGAAAGATGATTGTGATACCTAAGGATTATTCTGGCGGGTGGTTTTCTGCTTCTGCTTCTGCTTCTACTTCTGCTTCTACTTCTCTTTGTCCCAGCGGGTGACAATTTCTACTAGTTCTGGGCTCGAGTGCGCGAGCCAACCTTGTGTGTGCGCTTCTATTTTTTTTTTCTCTTCGACGGAGATTTTTTTTGCTTCAGGTGTTTTTTTTTTTTTTTTTTTTTTTCTCTACTCAAGCATGGCGTTTAGAGAGACAAGAGTTTACCCACCAATTCCATTCCCCTTTTTGTTTTTCTCCCTCTCCCTCAAACTTGATGAGCACGAGCAAGAAAAAAGACAGGTTTCGGTATGGATTGAGGGACTGACAGACGGCTTTGGCGGGGTGGATGGACGGACGGATGGATGGACGGACGGACGGACGGACATACGGGTTCGGCAGGGGATATTTATAGGCGGGGTGGAAGGATGGAACGCAATGGCCCGACTAGTATTTTTTTTTTTTTTTCCTTTCTTTCTTTCTTTCTTTTCTCCTTTTTTTTTCCTTTTCTCTTTTTAGGTTTTTTTTTTTTTCTAATTCCCAATTTTTCCCAAGAAACGGTGTAAATGGTGAAGGGGTGCGTGAGTGGGTTTCGGTTTGTCGATAATGACAACGACACGGAGGACACGGAGCACACGGAGGAGCAGGAGGAGCAGGAGCACAACTTGAGTATAAAGTTACAAGGCAAGGCAGCGAAGGTGAAAGGATAAATGGAAGGATGGAAGGAAAGGAAAGGAAAGGATTTGTAAATCTACCTACCTACCTATGTATGTATGGATGGAAGGAAGGAAGGAAGGAAGGCGAGCTGGAACGGGCGGGTGGAGAGATACTACCTAGATAAGGTACCTAGATGTGGGAATAACATAACAGACAAGTAGGTAGGTACAGGTGGGAGGAGCTTTGAAGATGAAGAGAACCTTGATACCTACCTACTATAACCTAAATAAGTACTATACTATTCTATCATTCCATCTACGTATTTACAGTAATAGCCTAAAACATTCTACTATCCAAACATCCTATTGATTAGAGGTATGTTGGGGGAGGGTGACTGCATTTCCTGACTGTGAGTTTCTCATATATTTATGGCGTGGCTAGGATAAAAAAGATGGATGATGGAGATGAAAAAGTAGTGGAATAGATTGCTTAAGTGAGTATTGTAGGTAGGTATTGTGTAATATCAAATCTCTTAAACATGGATGGATGAGGTTTATAGTTCAGTTCAGTTCAGTTCAGTTCAGTTCAGTTCAGTTCAGTTTACAAGGCGGTTCGTTATGATTCTCACACCTTCTTCTGTATTTGTTATAAATGTGAATGTGAATGTGAATGTAAATACGAATGTAAATCTGCTTGCAATCCAGCTGCTCACTATAGTCTGTCTGTCTATCTGTCTGGCTGGTTGTTTGTTTGTCTGTCTGTCTGTCTGTCTGTCTATCTATCTACCTACCTGTATCTATGACCCCCCCCCCCCCCCCTTTGGCTTTTAGAACAGAAATTAAAAAAAAAAAAAAAAAAAAAAAAAAAAAAAAAAAAAAATGTAGTGAAAAAAGTTGAAACGTACCCCTTTCTTCTTGCGGCGGGTGTTCAAACCTACATTTTGAAAAAAAAAAAATTAAACAAACCCCCCTTTCTTATTTTTTTTTTGGGACCCCCAAATGTTCCCCCCGGGGTTTTAAAAATGAAAACCCCCTGGGGGGGAAGAAATAAATAGGGACCTAACTGGGTGCTTTCCAAAAAAAAAAAAAAAAAAAAAAAAA